GCTGCGAGAGCACTGGGTCCAGCAGCGGGAGTGGAAGTTGGCAGCCCAGCCGGAAATGAGCTTTCAGGGCGACGGACAGAGTCGTTGGGGAACTGGGACTCGTGCAAGGTCCCCGATTCTAGAGGGAACTGTGTCAGTTGTTCCTCGGTTTGACTCGTCTCTTGAATGAGGTCCTCCAGCTTTTTGTTTATAGTCTCCTCAGTTGACGCTGCTTGTTTCACTACATCTGAGAGCAGTTTTAAAAGGCGTTCGTTTGTGCGGTGCAAGGCATTTCTGGAAGCAAAAACAAAAAGACTTGGCGTATATGTAGCGGCATTGGAACGCTATTGCATGGCAATGCGTTTGAAACGAAAAAATACCAACTTAAAATTGAACCACAACATAAACATCATAACAGCTCGCCCCTGTTTTTGTTGACGCGTATCAGTTCTTTCTCTCACACAGGTTATGAGAGGTTTTAAAGAACTGACCGCCATTGTTTTAAACCGCGGCAGGATAAGCTCAGTCGGTAGAGCGCTTGACTGCAGAGCGGGAGGTGGCAGGTTCGATTCCCGGGGCCGGACCAATGGTCATGGTCTTAAAATAACTGCGAAATAAAGGTACTGCCTTTGCCCTGCAAACGGCTAGACCTTCGCGTGGCTCGGATGATCACGGAAAATGGCGGTCTCCTCTTCAGTAGGAGACGTAAAAATAGTGTCCCCATTAATACTTTCGTGCTAAATATTTTGACACTCAAATAAAGTGCATTTTTTCCAAGTTAATGTTCTTGTCCGTTGCACTCGAATTGATAAGAAAGAATGAAGGAGACAAGGCTAACGACTTAGGGCCTCTTCATATGAGCCCGGTTGACCGGGCTGGCCCGGTTTCCTAGATCTCGCCTCACCTCCAAATCCTTTGTTAAATTTTCGATGTGTTCATATGAGAGGGCGGGCTGGCTCAGTTCCCGAGATCTCGGTTTTTCCAACCGAGATCTCGGTAAGCTGGCTGGAAATTTTGCCATATGAACACTTCATCCCGGTTACCGGGATGAACGGCGGGATGAATTCTGGCGGCCCGGATGGCATCGTCTTGCATTGCCTGCTGTATTTTCCACATCATAAGCATCCCATTTAACTGCAGTGATACAGCTTTAAGAGTTGCAAGGTTTGCCGTCTTCGTTCTTCTTCCGTCCTGTTGCGTAAGTTCACTGAGAACGGCCCTCTAAAATATCGCACCTATTACAAGCTCCTCTGCCTGTTCGTCTAAGCTCGGCCCCTGGAACATGGTGTCCGTTTGTCTCTGGGACAGTTCGAGACCTTCATCGCTGAGCATTGACAAGTCAGTCTTACTGGTCAGCGTATTATCCTCAGATTCAGAGAGGTCAGCGGCTGCACCTAAGAGAGCAAAAACGAGATTGTATAAGCTAAAGACTACCATGGGTCAGGTTCAGTTCACCAAACCAGTGAAAGGTGAAATACATCAAAACATGGCTGAGTCACGGCCAACTTAATTTCAAACCCAGAGATATACAGGGAAGTCTATTGAAGGAGCTACGCCACACTATTCATTGGGGAGCTCAAGCAACGAGAACGGCAAACAACAGTTTTATATCAGCAAAACAACAACAACTTTGCACGTGCATTTGTACATTTTCTTTGCCGTCGTTGCACGACCACAACGTGAAAATGCGTAATTTCACGTTTTGTCGAGGACGGGAACACACGACAACAACTTTCGTTTTCTTTTCCTGGACTTTGATACAGTCTTTTAGAATTCAACTCCAAAACAAATTGCCAACATTTCACGAATTAAACGAGATGGAATAAGCGCGATAAAGTTTGAGGCAATGCGAACTCACTTTTTAAGTGACGTTTTCGTAGCCGTCGCCGTCCTTGTTGCCTAAAGCTCCCTATTATTTTACAGGGGCAATGTCACGCTATATCCTATCTGTTTGAAAAGATTAAATGTGTCTCCTATCAATTGAATTCTAAACAAAATGGCCTTGTTTTGTTATTTAAGACTGTATTTAGGCATTGAAACTGTTTCCTGCCGTCTGTTGCTACGGATGTGGCAAGGATGGATATGGATCAAAACTTCAGAAAGTTCGGCCAACTTTTTCAAGCGACCTGCCTGCAAAAAACTCCAAAAATTTTATGGTTTGTGCTTCCTGATGAAATTTGTTTGAGATCTTCTTCATAACTCTACAGGAGCATGTTGTGTATGGCGAAAGACACTGAGTAATGACTTCAGCACAGAATTGGCCTAAAACAGCATTATCCTAGTAAGGCTGAGCATGATCGTCCGGGTGAACGTTCTCCTGTTGTTGACAGTGACTGACGTTTCGACAACCTGTGCGGTAGTCATCTTCAGAGTCAAAGTGAGCTGTATCACGTCAGTTGATGGTATCAAACACTGGTTATCGACCTGATTGGTCAATTAATTCCCAATTTTAATGGACGCCGAAACCATTACTCGTTTCTTCGTCGTTACGTAAAGTTAAGAAAACGTTATGGAAGAAGCGGAATTTTTTTAAAGTAATTTTACTACGACATCCCCCACCTCCAGCAGGTGTTCTGTGGTTGGCTGCGAGAGCACTGGGTCCAGCAGCGGGAGTGGAAGTTGGCAGCCCAGCCGGAAATGAGCTTTCAGGGCGACGGACAGAGTCGTTGGGGAACTGGGACTCGTGCAAGGTCCCCGATTCTAGAGGGAACTGTGTCAGTTGTTCCTCGGTTTGACTCGTCTCTTGAATGAGGTCCTCCAGCTTTTTGTTTATAGTCTCCTCAGTTGACGCTGCTTGTTTCACTACATCTGAGAGCAGTTTTAAAAGGCGTTCGTTTGTGCGGTGCAAGGCATTTCTGGAAGCAAAAACAAAAAGACTTGGCGTATATGTAGCGGCATTGGAACGCTATTGCATGGCAATGCGTTTGAAACGAAAAAATACCAACTTAAAATTGAACCACAACATAAACATCATAACAGCTCGCCCCTGTTTTTGTTGACGCGTATCAGTTCTTTCTCTCACACAGGTTATGAGAGGTTTTAAAGAACTGACCGCCATTGTTTTAAACCGCGGCAGGATAAGCTCAGTCGGTAGAGCGCTTGACTGCAGAGCGGGAGGTGGCAGGTTCGATTCCCGGGGCCGGACCAATGGTCATGGTCTTAAAATAACTGCGAAATAAAGGTACTGCCTTTGCCCTGCAAACGGCTAGACCTTCGCGTGGCTCGGATGATCACGGAAAATGGCGGTCTCCTCTTCAGTAGGAGACGTAAAAATAGTGTCCCCATTAATACTTTCGTGCTAAATATTTTGACACTCAAATAAAGTGCATTTTTTCCAAGTTAATGTTCTTGTCCGTTGCACTCGAATTGATAAGAAAGAATGAAGGAGACAAGGCTAACGACTTAGGGCCTCTTCATATGAGCCCGGTTGACCGGGCTGGCCCGGTTTCCTAGATCTCGCCTCACCTCCAAATCCTTTGTTAAATTTTCGATGTGTTCATATGAGAGGGCGGGCTGGCTCAGTTCCCGAGATCTCGGTTTTTCCAACCGAGATCTCGGTAAGCTGGCTGGAAATTTTGCCATATGAACACTTCATCCCGGTTACCGGGNAATTTTACTACGACATCCCCCACCTCCAGCAGGTGTTCTGTGGTTGGCTGCGAGAGCACTGGGTCCAGCAGCGGGAGTGGAAGTTGGCAGCCCAGCCGGAAATGAGCTTTCAGGGCGACGGACAGAGTCGTTGGGGAACTGGGACTCGTGCAAGGTCCCCGATTCTAGAGGGAACTGTGTCAGTTGTTCCTCGGTTTGACTCGTCTCTTGAATGAGGTCCTCCAGCTTTTTGTTTATAGTCTCCTCAGTTGACGCTGCTTGTTTCACTACATCTGAGAGCAGTTTTAAAAGGCGTTCGTTTGTGCGGTGCAAGGCATTTCTGGAAGCAAAAACAAAAAGACTTGGCGTATATGTAGCGGCATTGGAACGCTATTGCATGGCAATGCGTTTGAAACGAAAAAATACCAACTTAAAATTGAACCACAACATAAACATCATAACAGCTCGCCCCTGTTTTTGTTGACGCGTATCAGTTCTTTCTCTCACACAGGTTATGAGAGGTTTTAAAGAACTGACCGCCATTGTTTTAAACCGCGGCAGGATAAGCTCAGTCGGTAGAGCGCTTGACTGCAGAGCGGGAGGTGGCAGGTTCGATTCCCGGGGCCGGACCAATGGTCATGGTCTTAAAATAACTGCGAAATAAAGGTACTGCCTTTGCCCTGCAAACGGCTAGACCTTCGCGTGGCTCGGATGATCACGGAAAATGGCGGTCTCCTCTTCAGTAGGAGACGTAAAAATAGTGTCCCCATTAATACTTTCGTGCTAAATATTTTGACACTCAAATAAAGTGCATTTTTTCCAAGTTAATGTTCTTGTCCGTTGCACTCGAATTGATAAGAAAGAATGAAGGAGACAAGGCTAACGACTTAGGGCCTCTTCATATGAGCCCGGTTGACCGGGCTGGCCCGGTTTCCTAGATCTCGCCTCACCTCCAAATCCTTTGTTAAATTTTCGATGTGTTCATATGAGAGGGCGGGCTGGCTCAGTTCCCGAGATCTCGGTTTTTCCAACCGAGATCTCGGTAAGCTGGCTGGAAATTTTGCCATATGAACACTTCATCCCGGTTACCGGGATGAACGGCGGGATGAATTCTGGCGGCCCGGATGGCATCGTCTTGCATTGCCTGCTGTATTTTCCACATCATAAGCATCCCATTTAACTGCAGTGATACAGCTTTAAGAGTTACCGACGCTAAGATAGGCCCGAAAGTTAAACTTTTTGTGTTTCGCTATGTTTGCTTTGTTTCCCATACCCAGGATCTTTCACCTTTTCTCATCTCGGAAACCGGGCTGAAATTTCTCATATGAACCCAAGGCAAAATTCATCCCGGTAACCGAGCCAGCCCGGTCAACCGGGCTCATATGAAGAGGCCCTTAATGTCAACGTCCAAGGGCCCCATCCCCTGAACTGGGACAAGGGCATTAGTTGCCTGCTGTTTTTGTTTGTCTGTTTGTTTTAATTTACGAGACCCTGGTTAGTGCTCCGACTGTCGATCTCCTAGCGTGCAATGTAGGCGTTTTCTTCGGGCGCGCGAATGTTTTTGCTCGTGAAAGCGCTATGTTGAAACTCCAAAAAAAGAGGAGGAAATGGGTTGCTATTTCTACTCTCCCCAATCTTCCGCTGTCATAAAATCAAAGATGGCGGTTACAACAATACGAACATAAACAAGCAGCTTTCGCCCGCCCAAAATACGCCTGCACTGCAGGCAGCTGACCTCCTGCTCAGTAGACATGCGCTCTACCAACCAACCAATCATTGGCCGGTGGTTAAAAGACAGTTTAAGCCGCATGAAAATGCAAACCTTTTTAGTTGTTTATACGAATGAGTCACAAAAAGACATTTAACTAAGGGCCTGTTTACATGAAGGTAGGTGAGGTAACCCTCTTAGATGGGGCAACCTGCCTGTCCTTATAATCTCTCCTATGGTCACCCCGCCTATCGTGTAAACGTGATCAAATTAAAATGAGAGATTATATGGACAGGCGGGTCACCCCACCTAAGCGGGTTACCTCACCTACCTGGGGTCCCCCAACTCCATGCTCCAAGTCACTGATCCCACTGAAACCCGAGCCTATAAGCTTACATGACGACTATACACTGAAAAGTCCTAAAAACAATGTCTCACCTCTCTGCAGCTAATCGCTCCACATCTGAGCGCAGCAAATCTGCGAGATTATCCTCTTCCTGATGTTCACGTTCGCGTCGAGACAGGATCAAGTTATACTCATCGGACTGGCGCTGTAGATCATTCTGAAGACGAGCTTGTTCCGCTTCCATCTAAACAAAAGGAATGAAGTAGGCATGGTTGCTTACCATTGACAGAAACCGCCCGGGTGGAATCTTGTGCATAAACCTAAAACTATAAAATTTGACTTGGCGGGAGAACGACCCACTACAAAGTACATCCAAATCAGCTGAACAGACTGAAAAGAATAGAAAAAATTGCATCGCCGCAAATCACAGCCCATATTTCCTGAGGCTTCCCAAACGGAATGGCATGAACCATTTTATTTATTTATTTTTTTATTTTTTTTTATTTTTGATCGTCACACAATAATTACAAAAAATATAGGAAAAGAAGAAAAAAAGAAGTGGCGAGGAGACCTAACAGAAACTATAGGAGCTTTTGAGAGGTTAAGCCTCCTCGAACTACGGGCTAGAGCAGTTTCACATCAATTGAAGAAAGTTTGAAGAAATTTTCGGAATTTCCGGCTTTCCCATGGAAATCATACGTACCCCAGGACTACCCACAAGGACAACTGGAGAAGTCCAAGGTGACCACGTTTGCGAGGGAGGAATGTCTAACTGAAGTCGTGAGCGATCATTTCTCACTACAGATTCTTTCCTGGTATCTGCTCTCTTATCCAATTCGCCACTTTAGAAATGAGAAGGTAACTGGAGCCGAAATGCGTCCCACAATTATTCTTGGCATCGTTGGCTATTGGCCAATTTTTTTCCTGTCCCAAGTAACAATCCCAAAAGTCTTTGCGAAAGTTAACTCAGCACAGTTCCCTCTCGTTTCTGAAGTGGCCAATTCGCAAAAGATAGCTTTTTTCTGTCCCTACAGTCGCGTTGGGCTGGGCGACAAGGAAGCGCGCGAGGCAAACTGTTTATTACAATATAAAGTTCTCCTTTCCTGTCCGATATGTTTCTCATAGAACTGTTAAGGAGAATTTGTTAATACATCTTGAGTGATCATATCCTTAATTCTCCTCACCTCCCTGATTGTCACACTTTTTATTTTAATTGGAGAAATTTGATAATAATCTCTGCGGGGACTTTAAGGGTTAAAGAAAAGTACACACACACACCTCCTTTATAAGCGACTGCTTCTCTTGGAGTTTGTTCAACAACTTTTCGCTCTCATCCTAAGAAAACAGCCAAGAAAAAAAAAAAAATAAATCGAACAGCTGCAGAACCGTAGCCAAAGTTAAAACGAAACTGACGAAAAGCCGAGAAACATCATCAAAGAAGACACTTTACCAGGGGGTTTCCGAATAAACGTTATTTAACAGGACACCAATTATCGTCATTTATCGTCCTGTTAGGTTGCGCGCGCATTTTCAGTTGCTTTTAAACCAATGAAAAGAGGGGACATCCTCGGAACGTCTAGTTTTCATCTTATTTCAACGCGTACTTTGAAAAACGTTGACATTCACAAAATTTATCGTCCATAACTCCTATATTACAGTATCTTGATGCAATAAAATACAAGCTTCATGAGTTCACACTTGTGTTGGGCACCGATATCAAGCATATACACGTGCCAAGTGATTTTTATCATGTATTCTCGGAATGTTAATAGGGACCTTAAGAAACGAAAACGTTGATGTTCCGGTTTTTGTCCCCTAACCCTAATTCACGACAAATCACGGCTAAGAGACTAAAGAAAGTGAGAATCAACTTAGGTTATTAAACAATTTTAACCTGAATTTATTTTGACATGTGACATATACATGCTTTAAGCTGACTAATACGGAGTAAATCTCCTACCCTTGTTCTCTCGATTTCTCCTATATATTCCTTTTCTTGACTCTTCAGATATTCCTGCAGCGTTTCCATCTCTTGTCGAAACTGCTGTTCCAGTTCGTCAACACTTTTTGCCTGCTGGGCTTCTAGTGCTGTGGCTTTCTCCTCCGCGGCAAGCAACTCTGATCGCACGCGCTCCAGCTCCTAACAATCAAAGTTGACAATTAATATGCACTTGGCCCCACGTTCTTCAATAGCAATCTTAAGATTTGACTTGCCAGTACAAGTACGTGTATTCGCCACTCAAAACCGAGAGGGGAACTGGGCCAAGTCAACTAGCGCGAAGACTTATGGGATCTTTACTGGGGACCCGCCGGTCAGTTAGGGAGCTTTCACGTTTTGAGGAGGACGCGAACACATGACAACGATTTTCTTTTTTTTTCCCCCGAACTTCGTCGAATTCAACTCCAGAACAAATTGTCAACATTTGACGGATTGAACGAGATGGAATAAGCGCCAAAAATTTTGAAGTAGCGCGACTTCCCTTTTTATGTGACGTTTTCGTAGTTGTCGCCGTCATTGTTGCCTAAGCTCCCTAATGGACAAATTCTTTTTCCTGTCCCCAATAACAGTCCCAAAAGTCTTTTCGAAACTTAACTCAGCTCAGTTTCTTTCTCGTTTATTAAGTGGCGATGGAACTTCTGGGACGATTTGTCTGCAGAACTGATACTCTTTGAAAAACGATTGCTGTAGCCAGTGATTATCTAAGTCACACGAGCTTGGCTTAAAAACTCCTACTTGTGGTCCAATCTAAAAATGTTAAGATGGTTTTATTCTAAAGATAAGGAAGTCTGAAAGGTGGTTCCAACTTTTGAGGCTGTAGATGAAATCCTAAAGTGTGACCATTCAAATGAAAGCCACTGTGGTACCTTTTATTATGCTGTACAAGGTGGTTCTACCTCTTGATTCTGTGAATGAAATCCTTAAGTGTGATCATTCAAGTGAAAGCTTCTGAGTAGTACTTTTCTGTGGTGCTGTTTATTATGCTGCACAAAGGAGCTTTCTATTTTTCACTCTGTGGATGAAATCCTGAAGTGTGACCTATTTGGTGCTGTCACATTTTCATATTTTACCAAGAAATTATGATTGTTTTTAATTTTAAGCAGAAATACATATATCAATACAAGACACTAACCATTTTATGCCTATCTTCCAGCAAACTCTGCAGCTCTTGTACTTGTTCACCATGAGCAGAATCTACATTGTTTCTTAGCCCCTCCATCTCTTGCTCGAAGTTTTCCTGCATGCGTGACACGATGTCACGGTGCGCTGTCTGCATGCTGGCCTGTACTGCCTCTAGTGCCAGTACTCTAGATTTCTCCCTTTCCAGCGCTTCTTTGAACGCGTCTATCTCTTTAGCATGGGCCGAGTCTAAATCTTCTTTAATCTGATGAAAGAGATGCTCAATGCAGTCAAATATCTCTCTTAACGACCCCTCTCTTAAGAGGCAGCGTGGCCAAATGGTCAGCGCGTCGGACTCGCAATCTGACGGTCCCAGGTTCAAGTCCCGCTCTGGCCACTTGCTGGATTTGTTCTCGGGACAAATCCTCTGCCACGCTTGTAAAAAGCCATTTGGTTGCCTCCTGCCAGTTGGGGTTTTTAATCCGGTTATGTTGTATTTGAGTGGAGTGCCTCTAAACTAGCTGGATAAGCTAACTGCACTTTCCACCATGATAAACAAGCCTTTAAATCTTTTTTAAACCCCTGTAAGACAAACACCTCGCAAACACGGACACTTAGAGTTGATCCCTGCCTTTCTGTACCACTGTTAGTGGACTCTCTTTAAGACGCTCGTTTCTCTAAGACATATAGTACCGGTCGCAAAGGAATCGGTCTTAGAGAGAGCTGACTGTATATGGCAAATTTTATTCCTGTAGACAGACTAGAAACACTCTATAGGAGTCTAACGAAGCCCCAATTTATAAAGACATTTCTCCTTCGTGGGACACCTGAGGCAAGTTATAGATAGACAACCCACAAAGATTTCAGTTGAGAGCAATTAGTCCTAACAGGTGCCAATTACAATACTCGCTAGGCTGATTTAATATACTCTCTTTCTTGGTTGTCTCCTTGGAACTTATGTAGGATTTGCCACTTCTTTGGCATTGCATATCTATGGAGGCTGTTAAACCTATTCAGCGTTTCAAGATTTGTAGTTAATGGGTCTGTATTTCCCTTGTCATTCTTGTAACTGTAATCAGTCTTACTTATCCCCTTGCATTTAACAATTATTTAGCTTAACTATTTGCTTATGTATTAGCTTCTCAAAGATAAACATTTTTTGGACGAGTACCCTCCAACTTGTTGTGTTGTCAAATATGATCACATCAATCCTCTTCAACAGATTATTTCATGTTGCAAAGTTATTCGACTTTTGCACACACAGGGGGCGGAAAATTTCGTCCCGAAATCTCGTTCACACCGCCCCTGAAATGCATGACTCTGAACAGCGCCGTTTTTTAAGTACATACTATTAAACAATGTTTGTTCACCTGAGAAACCTCCCTCTCCGCGTCTAGACTCACGGCCGACAGTTGCTCACCGTGCGCCTGCGCTAGCTCCTTCTTGAGGCGTTCTACTTCCGCCTCGTGACCAGCCTTGAGAATGTTAATTTCCTGTACGTGCTTCCCTTGAAGTTCAGCCAATCCGCGTAACTGTTCCTCGTGTTTTTGACCCAGGCTTTGCTCAAGTTGTCGCAGGTTTTCTAAATGTTCTTGTTCGAGTTCGTAGCGAGCTACCTCTTTGGCTTCTTCAAGTTCTGTTTGGAACTTTTCAGACATTTCTGCTCGGGTATATTCTTTCATTTTCTCAAGATCCGCCTTTGATTTAAAGAAAACATCCTCCGTAAAACAAAAGAAATCACCTTGAATCTTCTATTAAATTAAGTTGAAGTTGAAGTCAAAGCTCAGTAATGAATAATGCATTTCTTTTGTTTTATTTCCCAAGCCTCGGAGCAAAGTATGAATTTCAATATATCGAAAACGATCTATTGAAATTGCTGGAAATTCTGAAAAATAGAAGACCTTTAGGTTCGCGGACGAGATTTAACTTAAAGTTTTTTTCGGGTATTCTCAAAAAATAGACACCCCCGAAAGCTCCACTGTACTTTTTTTAACCAGAAAAGTTGGCACGGTTTATCGCATAATGATAACAATTCTAGCATTTGTTAACTTTTTTCCGCCACCCGTAGTAGAATTACGAAGGCTATCACATTTTCCCGCCAAAATAACGCTGGTTCACGCGCATGCACTACTCAGTATTAAGAAAACCTCGCCCTGGTAGTCGTTCTTGTCTTGGAATCTAAATGTCTCTAATAGCTAAAACCATACAACGTCATAATAGTTCAAAATATCGAGGCGAAAAAGAAAGTTGACATACATTACAAACGCCGCTCTCACTTTTCACCCACACAATCACGCAGTAAGCAGTGGCGGATCTAGACATTCAGATAAAGAGGGGGGAGCAGTCATCTCTACCCTGAAATAAGGGGGGGGCCGATCTCCCAAAAAAACATTTTCTACCCTTCGGGCCTCAGTTTGGTCTAAAAATAAGGGGGCCCCTCCCCTAGACGCGCCACTGGTAAAGATTCGCTCTAAAGAAGCTTCGTCCCTAAACGACATGTTTCCAATCCCATTACGATGGCCAACATTCTCTATCAAATCAATTGACAATTTTTTTTTCTTTGCATTTTACTGCCCTACCGACGCAACAAAACAGTTTCTTTTAGAAACTGACTACTTCATTCATCTGCATATATAAACAAACAACAAACAAACCCCGTGTTCAGCCTCCAGCTGCGCCGTCATCTCCGTAAATTTCTCCATATGAGTTCGCACCAGCTCTTCGCGGACAGCCTCGAGTTCACGATCGTGATGCTCCTTCAGCATCTGTAACTGCAACTCCTGCTGCTGGCTGAGATTTCCTCTGAGCGCTTCCTGCAGGCGCGCCAGGTCCGCCTCCTTCTCTTCTTCCAGCTTAGCTCGTTCAGCGGTCAGTTCTTCGTTGAATCGCGCCTGTAGAGCCTTCAGTTCATCGTCATGTTTCTTTTGTAGAGCTTCAACATCGGTCTGGTGTTGGGCTTCCTGTTGCTCCATTGATGATTGGTGTTCTGTGCAAATATGAGGATTCATTTTCACGTCATTATTTACATTTTTGCTCAATAATAGCGTTGGACTTAACCCATAGACGACCTGGTCGTGTATACAAATTAAGTTCAAAAATTGAAATAGCTGATTAATTTGAGCAGTGTGCAAGTTTCGGCTCTTTGCAATCAATAACAAAGAAAATAGCAACAATCAAAAACTGCGAAATTGTTGGGTGGCAAAACGTTAATGAGCTCATACATTCTTTGTAAATTTTGGAGTTTTTCAAGGAGAATTTCTCCGAAATTGTTCGGTATGTCGGGCTCAAATTTTAAGAGATAACTGAAATTGTTATGCTCCTTGAATAGGCAGAGATTTCACACCTGCTGTAGTTAAATTTGAATTTAAGGTCGACAGCCTAATGTCAAAAAACCGGTTTTGAGCAAGACAGAAGAAAATAACGGCCGGTCAATGGACAATGTCTGGCCTGATAGAACTTCAAAATACCTTGTTGAAACAGTAACTGGTGCAATCAATCGACAAGGAGACGTTCACCGATGATAGCATAAAACACAGCACCGCAACTATGAGCATAGCTCACCTTTTTTAAAACTGCTATCGCAGGCCATTCAGCAGTTTTGCTGCAGTGCGGCGTACAATTTTACAATGTACATCCTGCCGCTGAAATCGACTCAGTTCTAGCTCTGATTTGTTCGCAATTCTTATAGAAATTTGCGTTCGATAAAACAATTACTCCGCGTTGACGATGTCTTGGCCTTACCAGTTTCTTACTGTGACAACCACATTGCAAAAAAATAATGAAAATTAAAAAAATACGCTAGGAATAAATCACTTTGGTACATTGATTGTGTTACTTCGATAACACGATTATGGAAATGCTGAAACTTGCATTTCACTTAAGATAATCATTTCCACATCGCTTTTAATGGCGTTGTCCCAAGAGAAAACGAATTGATCAAAGATCAATTGCATGACTTAATAGTGATACACAATTAAACAACAAGCTCTTTGTTTGCAGTAAACTGAATTACAATCCTCTTTTACGAGATGGGAAGGTAAATTTCTATTTCAAATTAAATCATATAGCACTCTTCAATATGAATGTTACGAATAATTAGAGAAGAAATTCCATTATTGGACGCTTGAGTTTATAAGAAGTGAGCCATTAGCTTCCTACGGGCGCTTTCCATTTGTCATAACTGATCCGCCAGACCATTCCCGTCAGAATAAGAATTTCAGTTTTAATCAAATTTACTATCCAGCCAGATCAGTCAAATCGTAAATATTATGCCCGAAAGAGAGTGTTTCTCAGGAAAAAAAATCTTGAAAAAAGCCTATTTCATCGTAAAAATGACTGGTCCGGTCATGGTCTGGCCATCAATTCTGACTTTGGAAAACGCCCACAACAGAGACTAGTAAGTTCGTTATAACCTTTTTAATAGTCTGTGTTAAATGAAATCCTTTGACGTGACCATTCAAATTAACCATCTTCAGCAGTACTTTCACATGGTGCTATTTATTTAGTATGTAGTTCTAACTTTTGAGTCTGTGGACCAAATTTCACGGTGTGACCATTCAAATGAAACCTCTTCAGCAGTACTTTCACATGGTACTATTTATTTAGTATGTAGGTTCTAACTTTTGAGTCTGTGGACCAAATTTCACGGTGTGACCATTCAAATGAAACCTCTTCAGCAGTACTTTTACATGGTACTTTTTGACTTTCTCCATTTTACAAAATGTTAATGTGGAAATTTTATTTAATTTTGACTTTGGTCACTTTTGGGAGTAAAAGGGTCCACAACAATTGAAAAAAAGGTATAATGTTTACATACCCGCTGCCAGGTTTGACTTCTCTTCAGCCATTCTTTTCTCGTATTTTCCTTTCATATCATTCATGTCGTCCCGCATACGAGTCCTTAATTCCTCCATATCCTTTTCAGCGGAAAGCTGAATCTGATCCTGAAGGGTTTTCACTTCATGTAACATATCCTCCTTGAGTCTCTCCATCTCTTGGAGATGTTGAGCTTCGAGTTCAAGTTTCACTTGTTCGATTTCTTCCAGCTGTTTTTCTTGTGACGGCCCCTTTCCTTCTTCATCCGTTTGACTTTCCCTAGAATCCGCAAAGGCCTGCTTAAGCTTAATAATTTCCTCCTCATTTTGTCGTTCTAGGTCTTCTCTCAAAGCAGCCATTTTGTTTTCGTATTCCTGCTCCAAGTTTTCTTTCAAAATATCGAACCTCTCCTGCTCAGACAAGTCAAGCATTTGTTCTTTTAATGCTTCAACTTCTCTGCTCATCTCTTCTTTAAAATTCAACATTTCATTTTGATGCTGACTGACAAGTTGTTCCCGAAGCGCCTCAACCTCAGCTTCGTGTTTCTTTTCTAGTTCTTCGGTAAAAAGTTGCATTTTTGCCTCGTCCGAAGCGACGAGGAGTTCATCTTTCAACGCCTCGACATTCTCAGCGAAATGCTTCTTCAATTCATTCAACTCCTGTTCGTGCTTTTTTTCCAGTTCACTTTTCAAAGCAGAAAGTTCCTCGTCGTGAGAAACTTTCATGCTTTCATGAATATCCTTAAACTGTTCTCTTTCTGTTTGTAATCTAGCTCCTAACTCTTCGACTTGCCTACGACACTTTTCCATTTCCTCCGACAAGTATTTCTCATTAACGTCTTGACTTTCGTCTATGGACTGATTTTGGTGCTTTAATACCGCAATCTCATTTTCGTAATGCTGCTTAATATCTTTAATTTTCGCTTCGTACTGTTCCAACAGTTCTTCCTCTTTCCCGGTATCGTTTGTTGCCCATTGCTTAGATAATTCAAGCTCGTCTCTAAGTTCTCTTATCTGCAAATCATATTCCGTACTCAAGTCTTTAATCTGTTTTTCGTGTTGTTCTAAGATCTGGTGGATCTTATCTTCATATTCTTGGATGACAGCATCCTTTTTAAAACTGTCTTCTGCCATTTCTAACTTCGCTTCTTGAACTTGCTGTACTGCTTGTAACGCAAACTCTTCCCTCACGTTCGAAACCTCATCCAACAGATCATTGTATTGTCGATTCTTCACATCTGCCAATTCCTCGCCATGGCTCTTGGTCAAGTCAATCAATTGCTTGTCTTTAGCACTCAACTCCTCCCGTAATTCTTTCATTTCTTTTTCGTGTTTCTCAGTCAAATCCGCTTTTAACTGCCTCAAAGCTTTTCGATGTTCTATTTCCATGGTTTCCACATCTCCTGACAACCTTAGAGCAGTTCTTTCATAATCTTTTTGGCTCTCCATCCTTAATTCCTCCATTTCTTGTTCATGGGTTGCGGTAAGCTTAAGCCGCATTTTCTCCAAAGCCTGTGCATTTTGTAAAGCTAGCTTAGCACTAAGCTTCGCAAAATCTCTTAATTTGTGGTCCTGAAATTGCCCTCTTAAGTCCTCCAGCTCAATTTCATGGCGAGACTTCAGGGACCGAATTTCATCCTCAAATTGTTCCGTCAACTCCTTGTTACACTTTTCTAATTCCTGTGCTTTACTCTGTTCATAACCAAATTTTAAACTCTCAATTTCCTGTTCGTGTTTATCCTGTATTTCTTTCACAAGCTTTCCTAAATCTTCTTCGTATTTTCCTCCAAGTTCTTTGACGGTACTTTGCAGCTCGCCGAAATATTTGTTATCTATATCCTGTTTGACTTTGAGCAGTTCAGTCTGTAGTTCTCCAATTTCTTTCGCGTGCTGTTGCTCCTTCGATATATACCTGAGAAGAGGAGTAAAATACCGCGATCATTTTAAGATGTGCGCCTGCGCTAGCTCCTTCTTGAGGCGTTCTACTTCCGCCTCGTGACCAGCCTTGAGAATGTTAATTTCCTGTACGTGCTTCCCTTGAAGTTCAGCCAATCCGCGTAACTGTTCCTCGTGTTTTTGACCCAGGCTTTGCTCAAGCTGTCGCAGGTTTTCTAAATGTTCTTGTTCGAGTTCGTAGCGAGCTACCTCTTTGGCTTCTTCAAGTTCTGTTTGGAACTTTTCAGACATTTCTGCTCGGGTATATTCTTTCATTTTCTCAAGATCCGCCTTTGATTTAAAGAAAACATCCTCCGTAAAACAAAAGAAATCACCTTGAATCTTCTATTAAATTAAGTTGAAGTTGAAGTCAAAGCTCAGTAATGAATAATGCATTTCTTTTGTTTTATTTCCCAAGCCTCGGAGCAAAGTATGAATTTCAATATATCGAAAACGATCTATTGAAATTGCTGGAAATTCTGAAAAATAGAAGACCTTTAGGTTCGCGGACGAGATTTAACTTAAAGTTTTTTTCGGGTATTCTCAAAAAATAGACACCCCCGAAAGCTCCACTGTACTTTTTTTAACCAGAAAAGTTGGCACGGTTTATCGCATAATGATAACAATTCTAGCATTTGTTAACTTTTTTCCGCCACCCGTAGTAGAATTACGAAGGCTATCACATTTTCCCGCCAAAATAACGCTGGTTCACGCGCATGCACTACTCAGTATTAAGAAAACCTCGCCCTGGTAGTCGTTCTTGTCTTGGAATCTAAATGTCTCTAATAGCTAAAACCATACAACGTCATAATAGTTCAAAATATCGAGGCGAAAAAGAAAGTTGACATACATTACAAACGCCGCTCTCACTTTTCACCCACACAATCACGCAGTAAGCAGTGGCGGATCTAGACATTCAGATAAAGAGGGGGGAGCAGTCATCTCTACCCTGAAATAAGGGGGGGGCCGATCTCCCAAAAAAACATTTTCTACCCTTCGGGCCTCAGTTTGGTCTAAAAATAAGGGGGCCCCTCCCCTAGACGCGCCACTGGTAAAGATTCGCTCTAAAGAAGCTTCGTCCCTAAACGACATGTTTCCAATCCCATTACGATGGCCAACATTCTCTATCAAATCAATTGACAATTTTTTTTTCTTTGCATTTTACTGCCCTACCGACGCAACAAAACAGTTTCTTTTAGAAACTGACTACTTCATTCATCTGCATATATAAACAAACAACAAACAAACCCCGTGTTCAGCCTCCAGCTGCGCCGTCATCTCCGTAAATTTCTCCATATGAGTTCGCACCAGCTCTTCGCGGACAGCCTCGAGTTCACGATCGTGATGCTCCTTCAGCATCTGTAACTGCAACTCCTGCTGCTGGCTGAGATTTCCTCTGAGCGCTTCCTGCAGGCGCGCCAGGTCCGCCTCCTTCTCTTCTTCCAGCTTAGCTCGTTCAGCGGTCAGTTCTTCGTTGAATCGCGCCTGTAGAGCCTTCAGTTCATCGTCATGTTTCTTTTGTAGAGCTTCAACATCGGTCTGGTGTTGGGCTTCCTGTTGCTCCATTGATGATTGGTGTTCTGTGCAAATATGAGGATTCATTTTCACGTCATTATTTACATTTTTGCTCAATAATAGCGTTGGACTTAACCCATAGACGACCTGGTCGTGTATACAAATTAAGTTCAAAAATTGAAATAGCTGATTAATTTGAGCAGTGTGCAAGTTTCGGCTCTTTGCAATCAATAACAAAGAAAATAGCAACAATCAAAAACTGCGAAATTGTTGGGTGGCAAAACGTTAATGAGCTCATACATTCTTTGTAAATTTTGGAGTTTTTCAAGGAGAATTTCTCCGAAATTGTTCGGTATGTCGGGCTCAAATTTTAAGAGATAACTGAAATTGTTATGCTCCTTGAATAGGCAGAGATTTCACACCTGCTGTAGTTAAATTTGAATTTAAGGTCGACAGCCTAATGTCAAAAAACCGGTTTTGAGCAAGACAGAAGAAAATAACGGCCGGTCAATGGACAATGTCTGGCCTGATAGAACTTCAAAATACCTTGTTGAAACAGTAACTGGTGCAATCAATCGACAAGGAGACGTTCACCGATGATAGCATAAAACACAGCACCGCAACTATGAGCATAGCTCACCTTTTTTAAAACTGCTATCGCAGGCCATTCAGCAGTTTTGCTGCAGTGCGGCGTACAATTTTACAATGTACATCCTGCCGCTGAAATCGACTCAGTTCTAGCTCTGATTTGTTCGCAATTCTTATAGAAATTTGCGTTCGATAAAACAATTACTCCGCGTTGACGATGTCTTGGCCTTACCAGTTTCTTACTGTGACAACCACATTGCAAAAAAATAATGAAAATTAAAAAAATACGCTAGGAATAAATCACTTTGGTACATTGATTGTGTTACTTCGATAACACGATTATGGAAATGCTGAAACTTGCATTTCACTTAAGATAATCATTTCCACATCGCTTTTAATGGCGTTGTCCCAAGAGAAAACGAATTGATCAAAGATCAATTGCATGACTTAATAGTGATACACAATTAAACAACAAGCTCTTTGTTTGCAGTAAACTGAATTACAATCCTCTTTTACGAGATGGGAAGGTAAATTTCTATTTCAAATTAAATCATATAGCACTCTTCAATATGAATGTTACGAATAATTAGAGAAGAAATTCCATTATTGGACGCTTGAGTTTATAAGAAGTGAGCCATTAGCTTCCTACGGGCGCTTTCCATTTGTCATAACTGATCCGCCAGACCATTCCCGTCAGAATAAGAATTTCAGTTTTAATCAAATTTACTATCCAGCCAGATCAGTCAAATCGTAAATATTATGCCCGAAAGAGAGTGTTTCTCAGGAAAAAAAATCTTGAAAAAAGCCTATTTCATCGTAAAAATGACTGGTCCGGTCATGGTCTGGCCATCAATTCTGACTTTGGAAAACGCCCACAACAGAGACTAGTAAGTTCGTTATAACCTTTTTAATAGTCTGTGTTAAATGAAATCCTTTGACGTGACCATTCAAATTAACCATCTTCAGCAGTACTTTCACATGGTGCTATTTATTTAGTATGTAGTTCTAACTTTTGAGTCTGTGGACCAAATTTCACGGTGTGACCATTCAAATGAAACCTCTTCAGCAGTACTTTCACATGGTACTATTTATTTAGTATGTAGGTTCTAACTTTTGAGTCTGTGGACCAAATTTCACGGTGTGACCATTCAAATGAAACCTCTTCAGCAGTACTTTTACATGGTACTTTTTGACTTTCTCCATTTTACAAAATGTTAATGTGGAAATTTTATTTAATTTTGACTTTGGTCACTTTTGGGAGTAAAAGGGTCCACAACAATTGAAAAAAAGGTATAATGTTTACATACCCGCTGCCAGGTTTGACTTCTCTTCAGCCATTCTTTTCTCGTATTTTCCTTTCATATCATTCATGTCGTCCCGCATACGAGTCCTTAATTCCTCCATATCCTTTTCAGCGGAAAGCTGAATCTGATCCTGAAGGGTTTTCACTTCATGTAACATATCCTCCTTGAGTCTCTCCATCTCTTGGAGATGTTGAGCTTCGAGTTCAAATTTCACTTGTTCGATTTCTTCCAGCTGTTTTTCTTGTGACGGCCCCTTTCCTTCTTCATCCGTTTGACTTTCCCTAGAATCCGCAAAGGCCTGCTTAAGCTTAATAATTTCCTCCTCATTTTGTCGTTCTAGGTCTTCTCTCAAAGCAGCCATTTTGTTTTCGTATTCCTGCTCCAAGTTTTCTTTCAAAATATCGAACCTCTCCTGCTCAGACAAGTCAAGCATTTGTTCTTTTAATGCTTCAACTTCTCTGCTCATCTCTTCTTTAAAATTCAACATTTCATTTTGATGCTGACTGACAAGTTGTTCCCGAAGCGCCTCAACCTCAGCTTCGTGTTTCTTTTCCAGTTCTTCGGTAAGAAGTTGCATTTTTGCCTCGTCCGAAGCGACGAGGAGTTCATCTTTCAACGCCTCGACATTCTCAGCGAAATGCTTCTTCAATTCATTCAACTCCTGTTCGTGCTTTTTTTCCAGTTCACTTTTCAAAGCAGAAAGTTCCTCGTCGTGAGAAACTTTCATGCTTTCATGAATATCCTTAAACTGTTCTCTTTCTGTTTGTAATCTAGCTCCTAACTCTTCGACTTGCCTACGACACTTTTCCATTTCCTCCGACAAGTATTTCTCATTAACGTCTTGACTTTCGTCTATGGACTGATTTTGGTGCTTTAATACCGCAATCTCATTTTCGTAATGCTGCTTAATATCTTTAATTTTCGCTTCGTACTGTTCCAACAGTTCTTCCTCTTTCCCGGTATCGTTTGTTGCCCATTGCTTAGATAATTCAAGCTCGTCTCTAAGTTCTCTTATCTGCAAATCATATTCCGTACTCAAGTCTTTAATCTGTTTTTCGTGTTGTTCTAAGATCTGGTGGATCTTATCTTCATATTCTTGAATGACAGCATCCTTTTTAAAACTGTCTTCTGCCATTTCTAACTTCGCTTCTTGAACTTGCTGTACTGCTTGTAACGCAAACTCTTCCCTCACGTTCGAAACCTCATCCAACAGATCATTGTACTGTCGATTCTTCACATCTGCCAATTCCTCGCCATGGCTCTTGGTCAAGTCAATCAATTGCTTGTCTTTAGCACTCAACTCCTCCCGTAATTCTTTCATTTCTTTTTCGTGTTTCTCAGTCAAATCCGCTTTTAACTGCCTCAAAGCTTTTCGATGTTCTATTTCCATGGTTTCCACATCTCCTGACAACCTTAGAGCAGTTCTTTCATAATCTTTTTGGCTCTCCATCCTTAATTCCTCCATTTCTTGTTCATGGGTTGCGGTAAGCTTAAGCCGCATTTTCTCCAAAGCCTGTGCATTTTGTAAAGCTAGCTTAGCACTAAGCTTCGCAAAATCTCTTAATTTGTGGTCCTGAAATTGCCCTCTTAAGTCCTCCAGCTCAATTTCATGGCGAGACTTCAGGGACCGAATTTCATCCTCAAATTGTTCCGTCAACTCCTTGTTACACTTTTCTAATTCCTGTGCTTTACTCTGTTCATAACCAAATTTTAAACTCTCAATTTCCTGTTCGTGTTTATCCTGTATTTCTTTCACAAGCTTTCCTAAATCTTCTTCGTATTTTCCTCCAAGTTCTTTGACGGTACTTTGCAGCTCGCCGAAATATTTGTTATCTATATCCTGTTTGACTTTGAGCAGTTCAGTCTGTAGTTCTCCAATTTCTTTCGCGTGCTGTTGCTCCTTCGATATATACCTGAGAAGAGGAGTAAAATACCGCGATCATTTTAAGAATAAACTAAATTTACTTTGTAAGAGAAATAACGGTCGGTAATAAAGAAATTTTAGATACCCGTTTTATTCCTACCGCTCCTGGAAGTGAAACGATAGATCGAACTATCGATGTATTGCGATTGTTTAATAGTATTCCAGAAGCAATGCATCGATTTTATGTTCAACTTACGATGATAGCCGCAATAGTTTCGTTAATTATCGATAGTTTTAAATAATGTTATGCAGCCCTTTTTCTTGTCTATTTCTTCGCTGTCTGGTTTGTTTGTTCGTTTTGCGTGTTTTGAAATCAAGAAGAAACATTGGGCCAAATATTAAACGTAGTTTAGCCAGTGTTTAACAAAACCGCCTTCTAAGTCATTTTCAATTTGTCCAACGATTTTAACTAAACATCATTTTTCGGAACAGTTTTATGAAAGCATATAGAGAAGACTAGAAAAGCCTTTATCTTCTTAAAACAACCCACCAAAGAAGAGATCTGGAGGTTCAAAGATTCGTTAAACCGCGGCTTAAGTTAGACTTCGTTTAAATACTTGGCCCATTATGTTCATGAATGCGAAGACAGGGAATTTTCCTTTTGTCTTTTCATCAGTTATGCAAACATACAGACGTGGATTGGACGACATACAAAGGAAACAGTTCCATTCCCCACTTCAGAAACGACAAGGCAACTGGTGCCGTAATGTGTCGCGCATTGGTTTCTGGAATCGTTACTTGGGACATGCCGGACTGCTATTGGCCAATTTTTTCCCTTTCCCTGGTAACAGTCCCAGAAGTCTTTGCGAAAGTTAACTCGTCCCAGCTTCCTTCGCGTTACTAAAGTCTCTTCTAAGACTCCATTACCTTCTCTCCATGTCTTCAGCTAATTTTTCTAGCTCTCGTACGTGCTCCAATTCTCTCTCCATCTTCTCCTGTTCCATTGTAGACCTGAGTCTCTCCACTTCCTCGGCGTGAGTTTGATCACCTTCCGCAAGTGTCTTCTCAAAATCCTTTTTCAGACTTTCAAGTTCTGTTAAGTGTTTTTCCTTCTCCGTAGCAAGTTGTTTATCCATCTGAGCCCGCATGCCTTCCAGTTGCTGCGCATGCTCTTTAGCGGTATCGTCGTACGTTCCTTCTAAGTCCTCTCTCATGCGCGTCAGTTTCTCGTGTTCTCGTTTCACTTGCTCGTTTATCTCCTTAATTTCTTCCTCGTGCATCTTTTCAAGTCGTCTTCTCGTTTCCGCGGCTTGCTCTAGCAGCTGCTCTTGTTCTCCCCTCAAAAACTCAACGTCTTCAGCGTGCTTCTTTCCTAAGTCGTCCAACGCCGCGCTGGTGACTTCAGCTTGTTCCTGCTCGAGCTCATTCCGTAGATCTTCCAGCTCTTGAGCGTGTTGTTCGGCGAGATTTTGTTCCACCTCTTCCAGTTTATCTCGGAATTCTTCCATGAGTTTGTTTCTCAAAGCGTTCAGTTCGTTCATGTGGGCTTCGTTTGCGGCTGTTTCGCTTTGTTGCGCGACATCTGCGAAGTGTTCTTGCTGTTTCTTTTTCACTTCATGAAGCTCTTTTTCCAGTCTTTCCTCAAACTGTTCTTCTTGTTGTGAAAGCTTTTCGCTCAGTTCGTATTCATGCTTTTCTTTAAGTTCAGCCATTTCCTTTTCGTACTGAAAAAAAGACGCATTTTAATTTATGAGAATTAAACAAGACGTTTACTAATTGTTAAAAGAGTTCATTAACGTGTGATGATATCCAACGCAATGTTTACAAGCAAGGGAGCCGACCTAACCATGGCCGTACAAGTAATTTTGAATGCTTTTCGAAAAAGTTTTCGTTGAAGACCCCTCTCCTTCGTACATACTATTCAAATTTTGACTGATCTGATTGATGGTTATGATTAAAAGTGAACTTCCCATCACAACGGGAATGGTCTGGCCGGTCAGTTCTGACAACTGGAAAGCGCCCTTAGTTGAGGCACGCAATACATAGAGGATAGTCTGAAGGAAAACGACACGGGAGTTTTGTTTATGAGTGGTCTGGTACAAACAGCAAGCAAAGGGACCACACCTTGCGTCAAGTGGTCGCTTACAAGAGGGTGAAAACAACAGGAAAGTATAATACTACTAGTTATAGCTATCGATAGATAGATAGATAGATACTTTATTATAAACACCATTGCAGCCATAGGCTGAATTACGGGATATTTACAAATACTGATGATAACAAAGAGAAAATAAGAAAAATTATCTAAATCTTATAGACATGGCTAAAAATAAAACCTTTCTTCAAACGCTCGGTTTTACATAGGGCGAGAGTGAAATCACTTTTGCGTCTCAGAGCATATTTACAACTCTTCCTTTGGGGGAGAAGGCTATGGAGACTGTGGGTGGGGTTACAGACGATCTCGTCAAACAGATCGATTGAAATCTTTTCTCTCCTCTCATGAAGTTTCGGTAGGCCAACTGTTTCTAGTGCTACACTATATGACAGGTCAGGATAGATGATTCTGAAAGCCCTTCTTTGGTCCGTTCAAATCTTCACTGATGTATCGCTAAGTGCCAACGAGCAAAGATTTTACCTATACGCGCGCGATGTTTAATTTGTTTAGAAATGTCATGAATGACCGTAACAATAAAAGATTTCAGCGTATTTTGCGAATGAATCCACCCGACGATGGAGACGGGATACGCACGGGACTCACAAACACGCACATGGCTCGTGGATTCTCTGTTCTGTATCACGTGTTCGCTCGAAAACAATGTATTCTCTGTTCTGCATTACGTTATAAAAGTTACCTTACACTACCATATGTTACATCGCTTCGAGATTCATTCTGCCTTGGAACTTTCGCGCACAGCTTTATAAGGCTGCCGTCTTGCAACCTCACGTCTTCGCGAGGCTACTCGTTGGCAATAGGGACAAAACGTGGTTGAGGGTGCTCGTAAGAGTTACGACAGGTTCGTATTATAGGGGTTTGAGGGGGGAAAGTCTGGTGTTTTGGATAGGTGGTCGCTTATGGGAGGTGGTCGCTTACGAGAGGTGGTTGCACATGGAGGTTCGACTGTATTTACTTTCCGAAAACATGAAGTTCCTACTCACTTGCGACAGTTTTTCTGTTAAAGCCTGGACATCCTCCTCGTGTTTTTTCTTCACTGAATCCAGTTTTTCCTGCCACTCGTGTTCAGTTTCCAAACGGGCAGACTCGACCTTGATGGCACTGTCTGCCAAAAAGCTGGCGGTGAGTTCGTTCAACTCTTCCTGATGGGAAGATTCAAGCTGTGATTTCACGGCACCCATGACTTCCCGATGACGATCGCTTAAATCTGAGAAAGAACAAAAAACACAAGAATCATTCAATCAACAGAATGTACTGTGAAAAGGAGTAACTTTGAAAAAAAAATTGTGAAGTTGTCCTTTGGAGCAAGGTTTAAGTTTTTCACCGAGGTTTACTATTCCACACATGATGGGACTAATATGAATAAGCCTTAAGTCAATAGACGTCTTTTGCTTGTACGTTTTGTTTTCCCAATAAAGGTCTCAGGGGTTCAGCGTGGCCTTTTGTCTTTTGATAAATTCTGCGTACATATACACGTAAATAAGACAAAATTTGTTGAAAGAAACAGTTCTCAGGAGTGTTATAACACGACCTACACTGGGAAAACAAAATAAACAAACTAAAGAGGTCTATACCACGCAGCTCCAAGCACGTTCGCTGGGGTGCGCGTAAAATGTAAAGACAGCTCATTACAAAGACATTCACACAAACCAACACTGATAACAGACTCTGAGAAAATCTCCATTCATCCTTGAACGAGATAATCGGAACTTACAATGAAAAATTAAAACCTTGTAGAGAGAACTCTGCAAAAGTAGTGCTTTCAATCCCCGGTTATCGATTTCGTTAATCGTTTATCGCGGCGTAATCCAAAACTATAATGCATAGCCGATGTTGTTTTTATTATGTAAAATTGAGCTCTTACGTTTCTATGGAACCAGATGTTTTGATGGACTATGCGACTAAGCATAAACTGACTTCCTTTAGTTTTGGGATTTAAATCGCGATCTTCTTGTCTCTGGAAGTCATCATTTTATAAAAGGTTTTTCCTCAAGTTATTGACACTTTTTATTTCAATTAAACTTGAAATGAAAATAGGGTAAAACCAAGAAAGAATAAATTAATTGCCTCAGAGAATTAAAGACCATTAGGAGATACGCGAATTAGGAAAGTCAATAATTCATAAACACATTTTTGCTAATGCCGGATGGATAACACAGTCGCGTGAAACGCGAAATCCTTTTCTCAAGCCAAAAAGCTAACCTGACTAGGTGGGTTTACCCTTCTAGCTAAGCTAATTTTTTGTTTTTTATGTAAATGGTTCCCAAAGTTTTGTAAGGAAATATAAGAAAAGTTGGCTCGCACAGGGTAACGCGGGTAGGCGAGAGACCCTTCTATCTGGAACAGGTTTTCTAAATGTAAACGGGACCTTGATGAAACTGCCTAAACTAGACTTAGATTTTCGTCATACAATGCAGGTACCTCTACTTAATTTCAAACAATCCCTTCCTCCGCAACATAGCCATCTTTGACCCACTTCTATAATATGGACACCTGGGTGACACCTCACTATTACGTACAGTTTGCTTGGTCCCTAAAATGCTACATGATACGGACACCCGTGTAATTAGGACCTTTGACAGTGTCCCTTTCGCGTCCGCATTAGGGAGGTTAAAACTGTCCTAAAAATTTTCCAAATTTGTTCAGGCCGTCTAAGACACTGATTCAGAAGAGTTCTATTTCAAACATGCAGGCGTTTAGAAATGAAAATGCTAGCTGAGATTATCAAGGAGAACGACGAAGAAATTTGGAATTATGTATCGCTTACCATCTCTCAAGCCATCCATCTGTTGTTGATGAATGTCATCTAGTTCGATCAAGTCGTTGGAGTGTTGTCTTTCCAAAACACTCTTCATGGTTCCCACTTGCTGAAGTCGCTGAGTTTCCAACTCGCTCTTAAGCTCCAAGAGCTTCTGTTCAAATTCCGCGTTCATTCGTGTGATCTAAACAGCAAATAACAGAAAAACATAAGCAACACAGACATATAAGCTCAATACCGACTATCTGCAAAATCTTGAAATATTCGCGGGCTGCACATGCTGAATTCGGGTTCTGTTATGGTAAAGTAAAGAAGAATGAGATAATGAATAAAATCCACATTTAACTAAAACAAGACCTTGGTGAGCCTACGAGATTTTGTTCGTTGAAGCCAAGAAATTGTTACTTAACATTATGTCAACAGAGAAGAGAAAAATCTAATAGAGATCCACTTTCAACACACTATATTACCTAGGCAATTTCACAAAACTTGTTTCGTCTTATGACTTCTTCACTTTTCTCTGTTGACAGACTTTAATGAAATCCCAGCTAAATTGTGAAATATTTTTATAATGAATGCGTGTTGTATTTCTCGTCGCAATGAATGTGAGCATAACTTTGAGCAGGCAGACACATTTCTAGGTAGTTTGGCGACAAAATGAGCAATCGTTCTCTGCGTTTATTTCAGTAACCTCGCAAGATGTCAGCAGTTCAGGGCACAATGTACGTACACCTGTAGCTTGCCTTCATCATGAAAACAAAGTTTTGGCGTCCATGCATCGCATAAAAAATAAAATAGAATTCTTTTCTCTACCTGTTTATTTCTGGCTGGACATTACACCGTGAAGATTTCAAGAAAACCGTTGAAACAAGAGACTAAATAGCGCCTTAAAAAGTAGATTGCCTAAATTCTGTACCACCTACAAGGCCACAAAGCCTTCATTTAGGGGACGCCATCTTTGTTTACCGACAGAGTGGCAAGCGTGTTTAAGTTCTGACAGTTTTTATTGTTAGCTGTTTGTTTTATACAATGTACTTATCATTTGTAATTCATGCTACAAGACAATAAAGTACAAGCTATCCGGGATTCTTTTGTTAACAGATCGTTCTCAATTAGAAAAGGAATCAGTTGCGCAGTTTTGTGTAAAATTAATTTCGATAATACATAAAGTGAGAGAAAAAAACATTTTACCAAAAACAAGTTGTTCAACCCCATATATTGCGTTTCTGGAGTTTCGTTGGAGCACAGTTTCGGCGAATAAAAGATCGAAGATTAAAGGAACCCTATGATCAAGTGCGCAGCTTTCGAACAAAAAATAGCTCAAAAAAGAACTGATTAACATATAAGCCAACGCGAACAAGATAAATCCCGTTAAAAAAAGAAGTCGCGCGTCCACATTTATTTCATCGTTGGGCGCCAGAACCCAAAATAAGCTTCTAAAGTTGAACGATAACCTTGGAACATTGAAAAAGCTTATAGTAACAAAACGTATTGACAGTGTTTAGCAAAACACACTTAGTTTACTGACAAAAACAGCAACATGTAAAAGTACTGCTGAAAAAATTTCATTCCAGGATTTCGCCTACAGACTTAAATAAATGAAATACGTCTCAAGTCTTGTCTCTGAGAGTGAAATGAAGAGTTTCTATAGTGCAGCATTTAACTATCAGAACATTTCGGAGCAGTCCTTGTTTCAGGGGTGATCAGATATCACTGGGATATTTTTTCAGTAACACTTTTACGTTTCTTTGTACCGCCACTTTGAAAAATGTTTGAAGTGAGTGATACACTATTGACATAACACCTGCTCAAAACTTTGCGTCATTTTTGCTTGCTAATTAGAAAGCTTATCTTAAACCCTTTTGTAGCATTTTGTCTTTAGCTAAGCAAGCGTTGTTGAGGCTAAAGAAACACCCACTGATCAAAGTAAGAATAACATAAGAAGAAACAAAAAAGTTTTTAACGCATAAAAGTGAACCGCAATTCGAGAGACTAACCAGGTAACTTAGTGGAAATAATACGACGAGTGTTTAACCCTTCACCCCTGCCATCAATAAGCATATATTTTCCACTGTTGCCTGCTAATTTCTTGCGGCATTTATCCGAAGAATCCGTCTAAAATCAAGAGATTTTACCCTTTTCTTCAACAGAAACATTGGAGCAAAAAAATATATATTATACGAAACAGAGAGCGGTTTGTACACCACAACTCTACATGACAGCGAAATAACGAGCTCGATAAAAGCCTACACATAGGTAGCTTCCCATGATGCGCGATAAAAACAAGATAGAGGCTAGAAGTCATTAGTGGCAAAATTATAAGAGATTAGATATAGATAGAAGCTATATAAAAGTGAACCACAAGCAAAATACGATTCGCAATGCCAAGAACGCGCAGGTAATCAATTGGATGGGAGGAGTTGCGTAGAATTTATCAATTTCCCACTGTTGCAAAAACGAACGATACATTCACAAATTTTACAAAAGATCATGTCAACATGCATTGGTAAAGCGGTTTTCAACTCTAGCCTGCGAATACGGTTGTCTCCATCGCTCACCGCCACTATGGACGTTCCGCGAAGGAGGAGTCCGCTCTTTATCAAGCGAAGATGATCTCACTGGTACGTTCCACTCAACAAGCACGCAAGTTTAGCAAAAGAAGATTAACCGAAGCGAATCGTGACACTAAAATTGAGTTGTCCTATTCCATTCAAAAATAAATCAGATCGACGAGGCAGACTTTATGCTTTCAGCCTAAAGAGTTAATTGCCAGAAGTGAGTTCTAATACATCCACTTTGCAATTATGCCTTAGGTGTAAAAACCGTTGCAAGATTAGGAAGTAACCATAGAAAAACCAAACTCAAAACAGACGCGCAAATGCGATGGACTAGTAGAATAATCATAGCTTTACATGCATCAAGAAATAAAGAGAAAAATACAGTAATATTCTTTGACAACATGACTGCACTCGACGCACTTAGACAACAAACACGAACAAAAGGAAATACTTATAGGATATGGTTACGCATCAAAGATTGAAAATGAATCGCAGTCGATTACCTACCCTAGAGCTGAAACTGTGATCTGTGAAGACCAGTCAAACACAACTTACGTGTCAGAGGATTGCAAGAGCT